CATAGGCATCTTCTTGTTCCTTCCTTTTGACATGACATCCCTACATCCCCCTTCATTTCAAAGAAATGATTTTTCCACTTGTACACAATACATACGACACTAAGGATGCACAATTTTTAATTTCATTCCTAATGCCAGCAGTACAACTGTAATATATAGGCTTGAGGGTGCCTGTTGCAAAAACCTCCACGGATATCCTCAACAACTATTTTCATTTTAGAAAAGTCTCAAATGTATAACATTCACTGAAGTGACATCTCAAAGTAACTGTTTGTGACTTATGAACTGACAACCAGAGTTTGGAGACAGCAAAAATCTTTCAGTAGAAATTCACTGTGCAAGCTTAAAATTTGTTGGATACATAGTGTGTAGTAGTCAATGTTTGTTCCTGGTAGACACCTGGCCATATGCCTGGTTCTCAGAGAGAGGAATGACAGTTCGCAGAGCTGGCTCTTCATATATAGCACCCAATTCTCTCATATCTCCTCTGCCTCCTTTTCCCCGTTTCATTTTGCACCACGTGCCACAGCAACCAACTACCACACCCACGGGAAAGGACACCACACATGTGATTGTGGTGCTAATGGCCACTGCAAGTATAATTGGCAGACTTCTCTCCTTCACTATTCCAAGTACACGGGTAACATTGGAACAGGGGGTAGCTTGTGGAAGATCTGGTAAAAAAATAATACGTAACTATACTCATTACTAATCCCCTCGCCATGTTTTCTCACTTACATTTAGCCTCAGATATGAAAACCTCTGTAGTGGCAGATTGACTCGAGAGACCACAAGAGTTGATGGCACTCACATTCACAGTATATCTAGTGTTGTAATCCAGTCCAGTTATGATGGCAGTGAAGACATCTCTGCCGTCATGATGGCTGATAGTCTGGGTCACCCCACCATCAACAGTCACTGCATATTCACTGATGGTTGCTCCACTGCCTCCGGTCGTGGCTGGAGACTCCCACTGCACCATTGCTGATGTCTCAGTGTTGGCTGATACAAGAGACTCTGGTGGACCTGGTGGGTCTGCAGATGATTATACTATTGACAATAAAATTTATACTGACATGTGACTTGGCAATACTAGTGTCTGCTACCCAGCATTCCTGTACCTGTTGCTACTGGACAGGTTGCCTCATCTTTTAGCGGTTGAAAAGTTCTGGGGTCACATACTATGACACCAGCATTTAATATAGAGATGCTGTTTCAAAAATCAGCATCACTGTGTAGTTTGACTAGTCCTCCATCCACTGCTGCATCAAAAGACTGCACTGCCACTCCATCTGGTAGGCCTCCAGCAGTAACTATGATGCTGCCATCTGCAAGAATGTCAACTTCATGCCCAGGAGATAGTCTGACAGTTGCCTCAGAAATGGGACTATTTTGACAGTACATGTGTAGAGAAGAGGATCATTTGGACACACCATCGCTCCCCAGCACATCTCGAGTCGTTGAAACTAGCCTCCACTGACACTGCAGCTTCAACTTGTGCAACTGAATAGTCAAGAATGGTGGACTTGGTCAATGGCAGAAAAAGGCCTAGGGAAGTTCGTATAGCTACCTGAGAAGTAGACAAAAAGAGCTGAACAGAGCAACGTGCAGAACATTATCTGTAGCCGGGGGTGTCAAGAACGGATCATAAGACTGCGCTGAAAGAGAGTGCGCGTACGTATATAGTTTTGGAGCATGCGCGCGCGTCATCCTAGCGTCAGTCACGAATTCGGCTTCTGCGCGCGCCCGATCGGCACTCTCCCGAACGCATGCGTCATTCTGCCCAAATCGACACACCCCTTTCATCCCGCGCACGCGCGCTGTGGCGGTCTTTCTTTCTGCCGTTTTACGCACAGCCTCTGTGCCTGCCTTTCACCCTGATTATGACATGTCTCACTCAATCCGGACCTTGTTGCTTTTTTTTTACTACTGAAGTACTGAAAGGGTAAGATGAAAGGAACATCAAAGCTCCAACCGACACATCCAAGTGCCGACCGACCACTTCTGAGGATGCGTGGGTGAGATAATGCCGCCATGCCGCCCGCTTACCGGGTCAGAGTTCACAAATGTGCGAGTTTTCTTGACGTTTGTGTAAATTTTTGTGACCAAAAGGTATACGGTATCGCGGGGCCAGACGTTCCGTGTCCTGGAGTTCCCTCCCCTCGGAACGTCTGGCCCCGCGAGACTACGACGGGGTCGGTGTGAACGTACACACAGGCGTCATAGGAAAAAGCGAGCATTGGTTAGGCCAACTTTAGAGTTATAGGCTTGGGAACTTAGGGTTAGAGTCCGGGAGGAATTTGGATGTTCATCTGATTATGGGGATATTTGACGATATAAGTTGAAGTGGTGGTTATAAGTTAGCTGCAATCCATACGTATAGGTTAGACGCTGAGCCGCGGAAACTACGCGATTTAGTGCGCCGAGGAGCCTTGAGCTGTCGGCGTCCCGAGCGCAGCGAGGGCGCTACTAAGGGCTCCGAGGCTCACTAAAGCGCCGTAGTTCCCAAGGCGACGCGTTAACCGGCTTAGACTACAGCGCAAGTCCATCCCGCTGCAGTGTCCGTTGTAGGCGTTGCTGCCTTCGGGATCGCGCCGCCCGGCCGTTTGTACGCGTTTTCCCTGTACGCTTTCTCCAGCGTATTCCTAGCTCTCTAGTAGTCATGCGCTGCTGCTAAAAGAGCCTGTTCCTGGTTTCTTCGTGCGAAGGAAGAACCGCTCCAGAAGCTCGGTTCACCGTCCGCGCGCGTGGCGCGTCTTTTCGACGTGGTTGCTGCTACGAATAGTTACCGCGGAAGAGGTCACTAACAAGATTAGTCACCGTATAACTCGCAATATGATGGTCAATTGCGTATTTACCGTGTCAAGTATATACAATTTTGTCAGTGTAACAGTGTAATATAAGTTTTATGCTAATATCATAACGAAAATCTCAAGGGGAAGAAACAACTATAAGTTTATTTGTTGATGCTATAAAATAATATTCACACTGCATTGTAGGACGCTGAGGGTTTGTACTTCAAGGGCAGGGCCTTGCTGGCTTCCTTTTACACTTTTCCAATTGCTTGCCCAACCACTTTTTGCCACAACTTCGTTGTCGCAGACATAGGCACACGGCAACAATTACTATACCCATGAGGAGCACCAGAGTAGAAGAGCTGATAGCGATGTCTGCAACTCCTCCTTTTGATAGAGTGTCACCTTCTCCTCCATTGTCACCAGTTTGGAGATCTAGTATGAACAAAATTATGCATATACTTGGGCATTTGAATCAACCATGTTATTGTACGCCTATTACCATCTTCAACCAGAACTGTGAAGCAGCAGGACGCCACAGAATCTGCGTATTCCTCTCTCTGCGGGATTGCTGAGAGAGAGTGCAAAGAGAGGTTATAAATTGCTTGCTAAAAAACAACTCACTGTCGTCAAAGACAGGACAGGTCTCAGAGCAGCTGCCCTCTTCTAATTTTGGCTTTTCTTTCACATGCGCATCTCTGGGATAAACCACTTTCACATCGACCTGACCATAAATAAAAACATGAGAACTATATAATACATGCAAGTGTACCTTCCAGCTGCCACCTTCACTCTTTGAACGTTTACAGTAGCAGGCAGGAGACGGTGGTTTATCTGGGAGACATTCTGATATCATGAAATGGCCCAAAAAGATTCCACTTACCTCTGGGCTCTACAGTAGTGGGGCGGGGGGAGGGGTTTTTATTTTTCTTTTTTCTTTTTTTTGCCGGTTTTTTGCTTGGCAGGCAGGTTCGCTGGAGAGACCACAAGAGTTGATGGCTGTCACTGAAACCGTATGTCTGGAGTTGTGCAGTCCAGTTATGATGGTAGTTATGACCTTTCCCGTAGTTGCTTTGTGTGTATAATAGCGATAGTGCTGGTACATGTGTCATCAACAGTCACGTGTATCTGTGTTGTATTCACTGGATAGTCTCTCCATTGCATGGCGGACGCTTCACACTGCCTGTCCACTGCTGATTTGATTGAATCACCCTGATGCAGTGAGTGTGTGTGTGAGCGCGGTGTTCTGCTGCAGAGATAGTAGAGCGGGTGGAATTCTCTTGGGATATATGCATATATATTACACTGGTAATGTATACTGTTAGTTACGTCAGATATGGGCAAGTCAAGTTTAAAGTGGTGAGGGTTAAAGTGCTCCTCATTAGTATGGCACTCAGTATAATTATAAGGACTAAATTTAGATACTATATTTCTCTGAGCCCTTTCGTTTAGCACCATCTTTAGTAACATTTCTAAATTTAGCCCTATGTAATGACACATTCCCTTTAATTTCAATTGTTCCCCAGGTGTTCCCCTTCTATGGCTGACATTGCCTTCAACAAACATTGTTATATAGGCGTTTCTTAATTAATTGTCCCTATGTGTCCCTGCTCTAGCACGTACCTGTTGCTATCTGACATTCACTGTCTTTTGCTGGTGCTGATAAAGAGTTTCCATCACATGTGATACTGCCATTGAGTAGTGAGGCTCTCTCAATAATCAGTGCTAGACAGTAGTTTATAACAACATAATCTACTCTTGCATAATAAGAATCAACAACGACTCCATTTGGTAGACCTCCTTCTATTTGAATGTTGCTGTCTCTATCAAGGGCAACCGTTTGTCCTGACGGTAGGTGAACAACGGCTTTATCCGCTGGACTATTATTGACAGTACAGATGTAGAGAAGAGGGTCATTTGAACACACACCCCTTCCATCACATCTCGAGTTGTTGAAACCAGCCTGTACTGACACTGTAGCTCCACCTGGTACAACTGTGCAAAGAGAGGTGTACTCGCAACAATTCCTCTAGCAAGTATATACTCGGTAATATGTTCTGTCTGCAGAGTATTAAAAGACCGGCAGACTCACCGCACAATACGCAGAGTGCGAGGCTAACCCACAGCGGCACGCAGCTCACGCATCTGCGTGTAAGTGCATGCACAAAGGAAAGCTGCTGAAGAACTCTAGAGTTGAACATAACTTAGCTGATCGAGATCCAAACTAATGAACGACTAGGAAACCAGCAACTAATACTACACGATGACGCAGCGATAAACAATTGTGCGCGGGGCCACACACACCCGCCAACGCCACGTATGCGCATGCGTGTTATGAAGGTGATTATGCACTTCTTTTCATGAGCTCCAAGCCACTGACAATGAAGCCTGGTTTATGGTTATTGACTGCTCGAATCATCTTAGAGATGATGCGTCCATACGTCTTCAAAAATTACCCACATACCCACAACTGACTGCACAGCCACATGCGTTTGAGTGTTGCCCTTGCAATTAGATTGCGAGACTGAAACTTGTATTGATTATTTTACCTCTAATCAGCCGCATTACATGATGGACATACATAGACACATATGATGCGAGGATCACAGGGAGGTAGATGTAATATGCTGTCACCCCATACAAATAATATCTTAGGTATCAGCAGAGCGTCGGTAGTAGGGATGACACGAGTGAAATCTCACGTGATCCGCGTACAAAACGCCTCGAAACTCAGCGAGGATGGCTAGCTATGCCTTCAAAACACACCAAAAATCTCTCACGGGTCCATATCTACCTCATACATATGCACAGAAGTTCAGATGTCCCCGGCAATTCTCGACACGAGAATCCGACTCATATATAGGCGCGATTTCTGATTTTTCGTCCTTGTCATCATATTCTTCTCTTCTCCTCGCTTTAGACCGCTTTCTCCTTACCAGTACCAGTTGGAGTGCTGATTTTTCACTGAAACGTCTCCAATCGCCCGTCCAAGGTGTGCGCGGACATCAAGCAATCGTTATCTTCTTGCCGCAAGTCACTACGGTGGTAGTAGATCATGGAGCTCTTCCAGGTCGACACTGAACAAAGCCATTGTGCTAACACAAGCACCAAAAAAGTTCCAAAGTTCCAAAGTAATGATTATGAGCCCCAAGAGGAATACAACAACGATTATGCATACAGAAACAAAAAGTATATATAATGAAGTGACATGAGAAGAGATTAGAGAGAAATGGAGCAGGTAGTAGGCATCATGAGGATGTTGTCGGAACCACCTCCCCTTCAATGGCTTCAAAGAACTCACGCGACGATATTGTAATGTTTGCAGTGGTCGGAAGCACACATGTTCAAAGTACGAAGTGCTCTGGGGATGGGGGTGTATCGATCTTCCTTCCACTTGGACCCGTACGCGCAGCGGCGTTTGATCCTCTATACGACTACCGCAGCTCGGGACGTTCCCCCTTCACTTCAGACCACCCCCTTGGGGAGTGCACCGTACCAACCCTTTTTTGATTTTTTGTTTTGTTGTCTGCTTACCGCCCGAGCCTTTACACTGTGACACCACGGGCCAGCGTGTCGAGCACCGAGAACAGGCGCAGATGGCGCTGTGGAGACCGGCCCGGCGTGGTAAAGCGCCGAGTCCGCTAGCGCTCACGTACTCTGGTAGCCCACGGCCCGGTTAGACACCCCCCCAGTCCATCTGCGAGTTCCACGAACATCCGTGATATAGGGCGAATTCCATAGCTTGCAACCAACTCGAGGAAGCGAATTCGAGCGGTCAGCAATGTGCCTTCGTCGACTCGTGACACTTGGCCACTCTAGCATATTTCCCAGTCCATTGGAGATCAGAGCTTCTTTTGCTTCTGCAGTAACTGTATTGCGCATTTCCAGGGGTCATAAGGCATTGTGTGCTCACGCAATGATGTACCAAACTCACTTTCAAGTAGCTGAACATGGCTCGACCAGACTGATCTTACTGAGCATACCTCAGCAAGGCAAGTGTGGCAACGCGCGACAGTGTATGCAGACCAGAGAGCTGAGGTCTGTCGCTGGTGAGCTTCGGAGAACAGAAGCTTTTCACTAGAAAAGGTTACTTCTTCAGAACGATGCAAACTCTCATCTTGGACCAGTAGCAGCGCAATGACAACACAAGCACCAGTCTGAGTAGGAATCTGTGGGTAGTCGTGATAAAATGCGCTTCTACCGATCTCTGCGCCTGAACCTCTCCGCCGTAGTGTAGTTAACAAGGATTCGTGACAGTATCTAGTGTTTCAATGCCGATAGAGGTAGTATCGGCAGCACACAATGAGAAGAAGAAGGAGAAGAGGCATACGCCAGAGAGTGGGTTAGGCACACCTGGTAGTAGGCGGCATTCAGCTCTCAAAGCCTTGTCCAGTGCCACAAATGTTCAATTGTCTTCCCCTGCTTCTGCAAGTCGCAGTAAGTGGAGGTGTTGCTGGTGGAGAGCGGGATATATCAGCGTGACTAGCAGAACTAATGGTAAGCCGTTGATGGATGAGGCGCTCAACCCACTGTCTGTGGAGGTGTGCAGACGGCTTTGTAGCTTTTGTAGAGAGAGTCCATCCGACAAGGACACCATAACAGGGGAGACAGGCACGGATCCTTGTCGATACACCTCGATGACGATCACGAAAAGGGTGGAGGGATGAGTGAGAGCTGCCGCGCAGATATAACACACGCTGCTCATGGATTGTGTGTACACGCTCCTAATGAGTCTCCAGCACTCTCCTTGATTCCACGCTCTCTGGAATAGGCTCACTCGACGGGCCGGGGATAGAGCTCGCGGAGTGGGAAACATGGCAATGGAATCGAAGGCCTTTTTCAAGCTGCATATAGGCAGAGATACCGGTAAGCACTATCGCCTCCCTCACAAACTTGACGCAAGGCCTCCTGGGTACGAGAATATGCATCTGACACACGACACAGATCGATGGTAGTGCAGTAGTTTGTGACGACGTGGGGAAGCTCGTGCTTTGCTTTAATGTGGCATTTCCATACGATGTAGCAATATCTTTCACCACTTCTGAGAGATGACGGAGGTTAGGGTGATACACCCTGACGGTAACATCGTTGGATCAAGTGGATGTGAGTTACGACCACTTCCCCTTCGTACACTGGGCCTGATCACCCTCGTTTCAGACGTGGAATGGAGATGATCGACGGCAGGGCGGGATGGCAGCAACAGGCACCTCCGCAGAAGACCAGACAGGCTGGCATACCCACCGTACTTCCGATGCTCTGGATCAAGGTCATCAGCTGCAGCATGTTGCCTGGCTCTTAGAGACTTTACGGCCGTTGCAACCTCATCCATGGTGATCGTCAGTGTCCAAAAGTATAAAATCTAGTAGTACAAGCGGAGAGCAAGCCTCGAGGTTGTGGTTATGGTTAGCTCAGACTCCTGCTGCTTCACATGAGGGTCAGTGGTCAGCGTGAGAGACTGAATGTGGAAGCAAAAAGAGGCGATACCCAGCGAACTTTGTAGAGTAATCACATCAAAGAGTACTCGTGTACCTGGCTGATCCGCTGAAAGCTGCATACATGTTGGACGTGGGCAAGGTATACTGATCCGCTGACTCGGGTGCGGGCGCGGAAAATCCGTGGACGTGGGGTGAGGTATGAGACCGTCCCACGCTGACCTCATGTGGACGTGGGTGAGGTGCTATACCTGATCCGCTGACCTCATGTTGGACAGTGGGCAGGGTTTCTTAGTTTAAATAGACTGCTGATCCGCTGACCTATTATGTGGGTCTGGCTTAACATATTTTGTACCTCTTTCACACTTTCATAGCTCTCTGCAGAAGCTGTAAGCAAGACAAACATACAAACACGACACGGAATTTTAGAGCACGAGAAAAAAAGGCACAGAGGCAGCGTAGGTGCGGAGGGAAAGGTGTGATAACGCACTCCGGCATGACGAATGGCGTTGGCACACGGAGAGAGAATGCAAACGTTCAAACTTTATCAGAGTGTACGATATAGAAGAAGACAAAGCGAGAAGAGTGGTACGAAACAAGCGAGAGCGAGACGCTCTTGGCCACTGCTTAGAAAATACGACCAGTTAAAATTCGGAGAGAGCTAGCAGTGCTTGCATATAAAAGATTAATTGACAACTTCATATGCTGTTTCTGAACAGCTTGCAAGAAGTAAAGTATACAGTACACTTCATCTACCTTCCTGCCGGCTTCATCAGAAAACAGATCATAGATGCTACACTACCTCATAGCACTCGATGT